CTCCAACGCGCTTCAACCCGGAAATATCCGACCCGCGCCGCGCCGGCATAAAAGTTGCAGGACTCCGGCCCTCGAGGCCTGGAGTTTGACACCTATGCTCTACACCATCTCGGCCCCCATAATAAAAGAATCTTATGACAATTTTAGCAAAACTCACAGTCACTGATACATTTTTATTAATATATATATATATACATATATATATATATATATATATATATATATACACACACACGTTACATTTTCATTATCTTATAAATAAATACACGTATCATCTCTATCATTTTTACTGTAGTTTATCATTGTCTTTGTTTACTGTTCTGTCTGGAGCAGGTCTCTTGTTAATGAGTCCTTGTGGCTCAGTGAAGCCAACCTGTATAAATAAAAGGTTGAATAAATCATTATGTATATATTTATATTCATTCAACCTTTATTGATGCAGGTTAGTCCCACTGAGCCAACAGGACTCATTTACAAGAGAGACCTGGATTTTAACAAAGAGTGATGACAACAGTGGATAACAAACTGTTTTTCAATTGTAAAACAAACAAACAATAAAAAAAAAAAACTAAAATTGTATGAATCATTTGTGAATGTGTATTGTTGTCATTGTTATCACTGTCTTATTACTATTACTTGTTCTTACTGAAGAACATTATAGACAACCCTCAGCATCCTCTTCATCAGACTGTCATACAACAACAAAGTGTCTTCAGTCAGAGGCTTCTTCAAATCCGTTGTAGGACAGACGCTACAAGAGATCCTTCCTGCCCACAGCCATCAGCATCTAGAAGAACTCTTTAATGAAACCAGGATGATGAGTTACAACAACATTTAATTTCCCTCTGGGATTAATAAAGTATTTTTGAATTGAATTGAATTGTCTTGTGCTCTGGTCCAGTGTCTTCATGGACGATGTGTGTGAGGGTGGACATGTTTGGAGGTTGCTGTGTTGAAGCTCCATGGATCAGCCTCTCTGCAGCTCTCAGCACCTTCACTGAGCCTTGAGGGAATCACTGAGCTGCTCTTGTTCTTCACAGGTAGAAGGTGGGAGCTCTCGTCAAATGATGATCTCCAGCATCATCTTGTTCATGCCAGGCTTTTCATCCACTGACCACACACACCTGGAAACATCAGGGGGACCAGTAGCTGTTTAACACATCTGGAAGGAAACCAGTGAGATTTTAATTTGACCATGACCATTATGATATGATGTTATGTGGGGGAGTGGTGGCACAGAGGTTACAAGATGGGCCTGTGATTGGAAAGCCGCAGGTTCAACTCCCGGTACCACCAACATCAAAATGAGGTGGAAAAGGTGAAACACTCACACCTGCCTCCACCCTCATTGGCCCCACTCTGGGGCCCCTGAGCAAGGCACTCAACCCCCACCATCTTCTCCCTAAACAGGTCCCTCTTGAAAATGAGTTCTCGTGACTCAATGAGACTACCTGTATAAATAAAGGCTAAATGAAATTAATAAAAGTTTAAAATAGAAATACTCACATCATGAGGCCGAGGTTGTGTGTGTGACGGGCACGTTCCTGAGGTTGTGTGTGTGACGTGCACGTTCCTGAGAGGCCACAGACCGAGCAGCTCCAGCTTTTGTTGAGTTCCTGTAGTCCTGCAGTTTTCAAGCTGAAATGAAAAAGCATCATGAATATGAACTTTACAGTCTCTAGTTACCTGTTCATATAAACACGTGGAGGTGTCTCACCTTGTCACTGACAATAAAATATGTACATTTATGAACGTTAATGAACTTGTAATGATGCACCTACTCTTTGAAGGTGAACCGATGGTACCACACCATCTCTCAGTTGGACCGTCTGACAGCCAATCGTGGCTGTTGTTCTGAGGCAAACGCATACACGTCACTCGTAGGTCACATTTACAAAAGCACGACTGGCTGGAATTTCCAGACAATCGTGCATCTGTTTGCAGACACAGATGCCTTCAGGGTTCACAAAAAAACTCTGACAGACAGTTGCGAGAGGCTGATAACAACTGAATACAACCACACATTCACGGAATGGTCAAATTATCGTATATTTGGCCTTTTTTGGGATTATTGATCGTACAGAGGGCAAAGTTGTCGTACAAATACGATAATTATCGTACACCTGGCAACACTGTCTCCAGGTCAGATTTGGAAAACATTGCCTTCAGTTTAGAAATGTTTCTCACATGATAAAAGCAGTTTTTTACCAGAAGCTTTGAATGTTTGTCCAACAACACTGACTGGTCGAACAGAACACCAAGGTTTCTGAGGCTCGGCTGAGAAGAGGAGCCCAGAGAACCGAGGTAATGCTTGATCCAAGAAACTCTGTTCAGAGGCAATGATCAGGGTTTCAGTCTTGTTAGAATTTAACTGAAGGCAGTTGTTAGCAACTATGCTTTAATATGGGAAACAGTTTACTAATTCAGCTAACGTGTAATTCTGAGCCATTGAAGGAGCAGTACAGTTGAATATCATCAGCATAGAGATGGAAAGATGCATTTCTGAAGCTTCTGATAATCTTTCCAAGGGGGGTGATGTATAGATGGAACAGCATAGCACTCGAGACTGATCCCTGAGGAACACCATACAGTAACGGAGTGGTCTTAGACTGTATGTTATTCACAAACATTGAAAAGGTTCTGTTGCTCAGAAAAGAGGAAAACCATTTACGAACAACAAAGTCCATGCTCAATAATCCAGGTATACAATCCAACATTTTTCAGTCAAGTCATGTGGACAGTTTCTTTTTTTTTTTTTGTGCTGAAACATTTCGGCTTCGATCCGGAAAGCTTCATCAGTCAAGGAAACACACAACATCTGGTTCAAATATGCAGATTGGACTGTTTGTTTTGGCTCCTGCCTTTTTTTCAGGCGGTCTGATTAACTCAGTCTGTGCGTATTTGACAGATCCCTTTGTTTGACTCTTTAATTCACTGCTTTTATACGCGTTGCTTTCTGTAAGTCATGTTTGACATTTCTCCTAATATAATTCTTTGTGAACTCAGTTTTTTGACAAATAAAATGTAAAATCAACATCTCTCATCAGTAGAAGCAAAGTGCTACCTTCTGGAAGGACAAGAAAACTACTAGTATACACTTGTCAGGGTTAGAAAGAGAAAGATGTTTCAGCATTTGCACCACTGCTGCACCACTGCTTTACTGGGTTTGGGATCATTTGTTTGACTGGTTACACCTGGATGTCTGTGATCTCATGGCAGAAGCAGCATCGTCTTCAGCTTCCAGCACAACACTGCAAACAGTGTTAGATGGAAACATATCTAAACTTGTTCAGTCTGTAGGATGTGATGCTCTACAAACTCTAAGATCAACCCTGTTATCATTCTGTATGTCATTGGGTTAATTAAACTGAAAGAATGAAAGCTCCTTATGTTGGCTTCTGTGGCAAGGTTATGAACAATCAATAGCTTACCTGTTGTACATAGCTGATCAGCTGTTCTCCGTGCAGCGAGGAGAAGTGGGCGTGGCCAAGAACGATTGCAGGTGGCAAAGAGCAGAGGAGGCAGAGAGCTGAAATCATGACATTCTGTGTTCTTTTAGAGCGTTTAGAGTTTAGAAACATTGTTTAGAATATTGCAAGAGGGTGGAAAGGGTTTAAAAAATATATAATATAAATAATAAATAATATAAAATATAATAGGTTTAATATACACAAACCGGATTCCAAAAAAGTTGGGACACTAAACAAATTGTGAATAAAAACTGAATGCAATGATGTGGAGATGGCAAATGTCAATATTTTATTCGTAATATAACATAGATGACAGATCAAAAGTTTAATCTGAGTAAATGTAACATTTTAACATATCTGGTGGTGATGACGTCATCAGCACATTTTCTAATGTACCCCAGAACTGAGGATGTGTATTGCTCCAGGTCTAGTGCCCCCCCCCCCCCCCCCCAATATTCTGTTTGTTCAAAACAATCTTTTAGTATGGGGCCACTATTCTGGATCCAAGATTGAACTTTCTTTTGTACCAGTCTGGAGCTTCTCAGCAGGGGAAGGTAAGCAGGAGCCAGCAATATTTGAGATGTGATCAGATAGTCCTAGGTAGGGGCGGGGTTCGGCTTTGTATGTATCTTTTACGTTTGTGTAAACACGGTCCAGCATGTTGTTTCCACGTGTTGGTATGGCCACATGCTGATCAAATCTTGGCAGGCAATCTTTTAGATTTATATTATTATATTTTTAGATTTCCTTTTATGTGTAGGCCTGTCACGATAACAAATTTTGCTGGGCGATTGATTGTCTCAGAAATTATTGCGATAAACGATAATATTGTTTGAAATTTGATAATAATTAGTAATTGTCAAATTTAAGAAATAATGTTGATTTGTTTTGTGTGTAGTACCTATTTTTGACCACTGTATGGCAGTATAAGACTGAACCGAAGGATGGATAGTGAGGGAGTGAGTGCTGTAATCTGTATGGATCTTCTTCTGTGGAATGGCTAGGCTCAGAATAAGGGATAAGGTGAGGATCTCCATCATCTGGTGGAAGCTTGGAGTAAAGCCGATGGTCCTCCTCAGTAGATCAGCTGGAATGAGTCAGTTGAGGTATTTTCATGTTTTCATTTACCCTTTATTTATACAGGTAGTCTCATTGAGCCACGAGAACTCATTTTCAAGAGAGACCTGTTTAGGGATCAGATGAGGGGTTAAGGGCCTTGCTCATGGGCCTAGAGTGGGGCGAGTGATGATGGGGGCAAGTGTGGGTGCTTCGCTTACCCCACCCACAATTTTGATGTTGTCGGGGCCGGGGCGTGAACCGGGGATCTTCGGATCACGGGCCCACCTCTCTAACCTCTGCGCCACCACTCCCCAGGAGTTCTAAGTACATTCCATTGGGAGGAGACCTTAAGGGTGACCCAGAAATCACTGCAGGGACTGACGCTATTAAGCTAAAAGTGGTCATGAGTTGTATTCAGTGGTAGTGCCTGAGGGAAACACCTTAGAGATTAGTAGTGTCTTACCGGTCTGAATGACAGCTGATATTCACCTGCAGGAATCTGGGATCTCCAACAGTCACTACAATACCACCAACCTGCTGGCGACAGTCATAAATTTGTTTGCTGCTGGAACTGGGACAACATCAACCACACTACGATGGGCTCTTCTGTTTATGATCAAGTATCCCAAAATACAAGGTGAGAGTTTAGACGGATTATAAACATGCAACAAGATAACTCATCAGGTTGATTTACCATGCAAGTCTCTGCAAAGTCAACTAATAATTACAGGTGCTCGTCATAAAATTAGAATATCATGAAAAAGTTTATTTATTTCAGTAATTCCGTTCAAAAAATGAAACTTGTATTTTATATTCATTCATTACACACTTACAGATCTATTTCAAATGTTTATTTCTTTTAATGTTGATGATTATAACTGACAACTAATGAAAACCCCAAATTCAGTATCTCAGAAAATTTAAATATTGTGAAAAGATTCAATATTGGAGACACCTGGTGCCACACTTTAATCAGCTAATTAACTCAAAAGGCCTGCAAAGGCCTTTAAATGGTCTTTCAGTCTAGTTCTGTAGCTACACAATCATGGGGATAACTGCTGACTTGACAGTTGTCCAAAAGATGACCATTTATACCTTGCACAAGGAGGTCAAGACACAAAAGGTCATTGTTAAAGAGGCTGGCTGTTCACAGAGCTCTGTGTCCAAGCACATTAATAGAGGGGCAAAGGGAAGGAAACCATGTGGTAGAAAAAAAGTGTACAAGCAATAGGGATCACTGCATCCTGGAGAGGATGGTGAAACAAAACCCATTCCAAAATGTGGGGGAGATTCACAAAGAGTGGACTGCAGCTGCAGTCAGTGCTTAAAGAACCACCACGCACAGGCGTATGCAAGACATGGGTTTCAGCTGTCACATTCCTTGTGTCAAGCCTCTCTTGAACAAGAGACGGCATCAGAAGCATCTCGCCAGGGACTGCTGCTGAGTGGTCCAAAGTTATGTTCTCTGATGAAAGTAAATTTTACATTTCCTTTGGAAATCCAGGTCCCAGAGTTTGGAGGAAGAGAGGAGAGGCACAGAATCCACGTTGCTTGAGATCCAGTGTCAAGTTTCCACAGTCAGTGATGGTTTGAGGTGTGATGTCATCTGCTGGTGTTGGTCCACTGCGTTTCTGAGGTCCAAAGTCAATGCAGCCGTCTACCAGGAAGTTTTAGGGTGCATTCACACTAGCCCTATTTAGTCCACTTTAATCGAACTCTAGCTCGTTTTCCTAAAATTTCCGGCTCGTTTAGGGAGGTGTGAACGCGCCATCGAACTCTGTCACGGAACAAAAAAGGCGAACTCTGGCCCGGGCTAAAACCTAGGTCTCAGTCCGGTAGAAGCGAACTCCAGTGCAGTTCGAGTACAGTGTGAATGTAAACAGACCGAGCCCCGCACCGCAGGACAAACAAGCACGCATTTCTCTGACCTTATATGGAGCCGTCAGCTGCCTTGGGTGGAAAAACAATATTCTCCATGGTCTTCTGTCTCATCTTCTGCTCATGCTGAGTCCATTTTTGAAAAATGACAAAATATAACTCCTAAAACTGCTAAAACTTGATGCCATGTGGGCGGGGGAACATGTTGGTTCAACAGGTTGACTCGACTGCACAGTGCAGTGTGAATGCAAATGCACCAGCTGAAATGTAAACAAAAGGTCATGAATACTGGTCCCGCCCGAACCGAACCGAGTCTACCGGACTATCTAGTGTGAAAAAGACCTTAGAGACTTCCTGCTTCCTGCTGCTGACCAACTTTATGGAGATGCAGATTTCATGTTCCAACAGGACTTGGTACCTGCACACAGTGCCAAAGCTACAGTACCTGGTTTAAGGATCATGTTCTTAATTGGCCAGCAAACTGGCCTGACCTTAACCCCATAGATTTTCTATGGAGTATTGTGAAGAGGAAGATGAGATACACCAGACCCAACAATTCAGAAGAGCTGAAGGCCACGATCAGAACAACCTGGGCCCTCAGAACACCTGAGCAGTTCCACAGACTGATCCACTCCATGACACGACGCATTGCTGCAGTAATCCAGACAAAAGGAGCAACAACTAAGTACTAGTTCTGCACATGCTCATACTTTTCAGTTGGCCAACATTTCTAAAAATATATTTTTTATTGGTCTTAAGTAATATTCTAATTTTCTGAGATACTGAATTCGGGGTTTTCATTAGTTGTCAGTTATAATCATAAACATTAAAAGAAATAAACATTTGAAATATATCAGTCTGTGTGTGATGAATGAATACAAGTTTCACTTTTTGAATGGAGTTACTGAAATAAATCAACTTCTTCATGATGTTCTAATTTTATGACCAGCGCCTGTACATACACCTTGATGTATCTATTTCACCTGTGATCTTCCAGACGAGGTTCAAGAGGAGCTGAACAGAGTGGTAGGAGTTCGTCAGGTTCGGGTCCAAGACAGACAGAACCTGCCTTTCATGAACGCTGTCATCCATGAGACACAGAGGCTAGCCAACATCCTCCCCTTGGCTTTGGCTCACAAAACCAGCCAAGATGTCACCTTCCAGGGTCATTTTATTGAACAGGTCAGACTTTATTCTTTCAGCTTGGACCATCACATTAACGTTAGAGATTTAAATATTTTGAAAATACTAGAGTCAGGCAAAGGTCGGGCAAATGAACCTCATAAAGGCTTGATAACTTCACCCATAACCAACAACAACCAGAACAGAGCAAATATCTGTAAGACCAATAAGTGTACATTAAAATCACACCCATGGCCGAGACGCAGAAGTATTATTTAAGAAAACACCAAGTAAGAGACAGTAGCACACACAAAACTACTAAAACAGTATTGATACTGTAAATTCTTTATGCACAAACTTACTAAAAGTCAAGTTTTTTGTTCATCTAAGCATTTTAATTCAGGACTTTATTGTTGTTTGTGTGGTTTTTGTATGTTTTAAAAACTAACCTTCAAAGTTCTGGCTTATAGAAGCTACTTTTGTGGCTTTTAGCCAAATGTGCATTTAATGACAGCCTATAGGAAAAAACTTATAAGGTACCAATTGGAAGTCAGATTTATTTATTAGAAGGAAACAAAGTGTTAACAAAGTCTGTAATTATGGAAGATAATTATAAAACCTGTTAAAGTTATGAATTTGTGTTTTTAGGGAACCATGGTGTTTCCTCTCCTAACATCTGTCCTGCATGATGAGCATGAATGGGAGAAGCCAGAGAGCTTTCATCCTGCCCACTTCCTGGACAAAGATGGAAACTTCCTAAAGCGTGATGCCTTCATGCCATTTTCTGCAGGTTTCTGAGCTTAATGGTAATTTCAAATAGATCGTAAATTTACAGAGATTATCTGAAGAGCTGTCTCTCTCAGGTCGCAGGATGTGTCCTGGAGAAAGTCTGGCCAAGGCGGAGCTCTTCATATTCTTTGCCACGCTCCTGCAGCACTTCCGTTTCACTCCTCCGCCTGGAGTTTCAGAGGAGGACGTGGATCTGACGCCACATTCTACTGGATCTCTCCACCCTCAACCTCATCAACTGTGTGCTGTCAGCCTGATGTGAAGAGGAGACCTGCTGGGATTGAAGTTACTGTTTCAAC